AATTGAGAAATATCAAAGTGTTCTTTCATCATTCACAAATAATGTTCTAATTCTAATTCTTTATATATATTTAATTTCTGATTCTTGCCGTTCGTTGTGTCTGAGAAATTAAACAAAATGGATCAAAGCGACAAAAGTGCGAGCAACATTGCGAGAGAGAGAAATATCGTGATTGTAATTAAAACAACACCTGTTTTCCTCTTCATAAAAATTGTATAAGAATCCCATGTATCGCTCGACTTTCACCTCGTTTCTTCCGGAAAACAGTGCACTCTGGGTGTAGAATTTGAAATTTTTATTACACGTGTGTCCCATTTCTTTTTTTTTTATTCATCAAGTATACATATGCTTACGCTAGTGCATGTTTCGTTATTCGCGTGCATGCAGATAATCCTTTCTATTCCTAATTAACAGCAGAATTTATTTTATCATATGTCTCATTGAAATGTATTAATATATATATATATATATATATTATTTATATACGATGCTTTTATATAAAATGCGAAGATTCTTAATGCGAATTCGTGATGAAATCAATTTCGTGCGTCCGCTAAATTATGGATTTACGCTTAGATGCGCGTGCACGTCGCAGCCGCTAATGATAATAATATATTTGGAACTTTTGCAACAATAACATTAATGTTCTAGTAAAATAAAGGTGACGATCAGCGACAATCGTAAAATTACTGATCGCACCAATTACAACAGACGTATCATGATTGCGGGTAACGTCGAGTAACGTAAAAAGAACGTAGAAAAATCTGTATACGCAGGTCTACGCGCGATCGTTACGGTATTCCAACAGTAAATGCACTTCGCGAACGTGTTCCCTATCCGCATGTTTCTTCATTTTTTTTTTTTGTAAGAGTACGCTTATTTGTAGGCGGTAAGTACTAATTAGATTAGATACAACACTACTTTATTGCGGGAAAACATTATGTATACCGACGAGTAGTTCGATATTGGGAAGGAATATGTATTCGTGTGTTACGCTAATCATGTGTCGCTCAATTTGAAGCTGTAAATCTATACAAGTAGTAGCTGTATTTTCAAATTAAATAGAAAACAGAGAAAATCGGTGAAGGAGAGAGAACTATAGATAAAGGGGCAGAAAGAAGAGAAAAATTGTCAATTATATCAATTAGATTGTACACTACACTTGTTATTTTAATACGTTGGCAGTGCAAGAGTGACAAATAATGAAATCACGTTTGAACATAATTTTTTGCTGTAAAATATCCCGAAAAAGAAAGAGAAAGGAAAAGAAATAAAATCTTGTTAACTACCGTATTTTAAAAAGCTAAGGGAAAGTTATTGCTTCAATAAATACAGATTATATACATTTAAATAATATACAGCGCATGCTCCTTGCTATCAAATAAGAGAAAAAGACATAATCAGGAAAATATTTGTTGTAAAATTATTTGGAAGCAGGAAAGAATAAGAAATTTGTCGGTCTAGTATGTTTGTAGTTTGTTATTTAGGCTTTTAAACCTAAAGTCTATAACAATCTTGATCTTAAGAGTTATCAATTTGAAAAGAAAAATGAAACGTACAAAATACGCAAGGAAAATAAAGACTCTAGGCATTTTATAACAAAAATATTATATCACTAATACATCTAGTAGTAAGGCTCGATGTTTCTCTAATAAATAAAAAAAAAAAAAAAAAAACTAAATAAGAATTATGACGTTCGAAATAATCGTCTCTCACATTCTTGCATACCGTGATTCTCTATGATTTCATGGATTCTTTTAGCAATTTAAAAGACATACAGATAAATAAGAAAAATTGCCGAGAGCATTAGGTAATGATACAATATGGGCGATTACATCCGAATATAAAAATGAAACTACTTTATAGTTTTCACTAAAAGTAGAGCGTGACTCAAAAACGAATATGCATAGTCTGGGAATATCGTTGCCAAAAAATAACACAGGTAAGAAACAACTGATCAGCGTAGATCCGGATTATCGTTAATTTGCTTTTTTATACGTAACAATACTGTTGTATACCACTGATCCAATCTTGAAATTGAATCGTATTCCTTCACTGCTTCTGTGTAACCTTCTAGGTTTTGATCCTCCAAATGCTCTATCAATGTCTATAGATGTACAATATTCACGAATTATCAAACAGTATACATCAAGATGAAGAAAAATTATTAAGACAAAATTAACTCAAAAGAAATTTACCTTCACCAGTTTGTATTCTCTAGCATCCTGAAAAGCGGGATATTGTTCCTGATAACGCTCGATCGCGTGCTGAGCATTTAACGAATCCACGCACAAGTGGCACAACGCTGCACGGAAGAAATATTCCTTGGCGCTGTATTTTAATAAAGAACTTTCTAATGATGCAGAAGCGACCTATAAAATAAATTGTTAAAGTTTAAACATCCTAACAGAATTGAACATCTTAACAGAATTTACCACAAATATTTATGACACAGGATGACTTTCAATTTTTACCTGCTCGTAAATTGTAATAGCTTTATCATAATTCTCAAGTTGCGCGGCATATTGCGCGACTTTCAGAAGACACTTATTTGCAGAGGAGTTACTTTCTTCGCCGCGAAAATAGTCAGCGGCCTGCTCGTAATGATGCACCGCACGTTCCAGATCGACTGCTTCACTTTCGTAGAGTTCAGCTATACTTTGATGATGTTTCGCTGCCATTGTAAAGCGGCCCATGTCTGTATAAATCTCAATAGCTTTCAACAAGCAACTGATGGCCTCTGTTAAAATAAAAGCAAAAATTTATTTATCACTTTGATTATATTTTAATTGCCAAATTAAAATGTCTTTAACTTTATCTTTCTGATTACCATTTGTATCGGACTTTTTGAAGCAATTAGCAGCATCTACATAGTTATTAGCTGCATCGTGACGACTACCCGCCTTTGCGTGTAAATCTGCCGCGTCATAAAATGCCTTTCCAGCCAAACTCCACTTCTTTGCCATCTTGAACATATTCGCCGCCCGTTGATAACATTCTACCGCTTCCTCGACCTTTGACGAACTCCTGTAAAGTTAAAAGCTTGTTGATCTAAAGTACAATCTAAAAAATGGACTTTGTCCTTCATCCTTTAACAACAGAATATCAGTTAGTTTGCAAAATGCAAAAATCATAATTTCCAGCAAAATAAAATATCAAACCATCTTACAATCTGGAGTACTCCAATTACGCGCCAGATAGTGATGTTGTTTGCTCATGCATCACATAGCATCACACACAGCCGCATGCGGCGTATGCATCACGCACGCACGGAGATCATTCGCGCTACGTCGCATGACGAAAAATCTGATCGCGGAACGCGGTGATCGAACGACGGAGTCATCGAGTGACCCGTCGTAATCGAACGACGCAAGACCTCCGCGCGGAAAAAAGGAGCGAACGAGTCCCACGCGTTTGTGTTCGGACGAGTTCAAGTGATAAATCGATTGACTCACCCAAACAGAGCGCCGAAGAAGCCCTTCGATGACGACAGCTTCCTCTCGGCCTCCGCTACCAGTTGCAACGCCTTCTGTTCGTTGTCGGCCATCTCGACGACGTCCGAATTGTTTTGCCTTCCTCCGTGCGAAGCTCTCTTAGGCGTCTCGATTCATCGACTGCAACTCAATAGATTTCACCTGATCTCACCACCCCCAACCCCCGTGATACCCTCGCAACGTTACTAGACGCTCCGAGAATCACGAACGGAAAAGCGATGAGGCATCGAGTGTCATCGTCGTCAGGGTCGCCAACAGTCGCCAATCGGAGTTGAACGTATGGTGCGACCGGACACAGCCAATCGGAGATACGATGAAGGTATAGGATTGGTCTCACCATCTCTGAAATTGGCTTTTTTTACTTTTACGAGAAAAGCGGGAGAACTGATAGCTATGGATGCTTTTCATTTAATGACAAGTCGACACAAGTATCATTTTGTTAATCGAAAGCCAAGAAAGATAGAACTACTTTCAAGTCAAAGATTTAACCTATCAGAAATTTTCCCAAAATGTGAAAAGCAACACATTGGTCGCGTTTAGCAGAAAAACACTTTGAAATTGTAAGATTTTTTTTTTAAATATAATTGATGCTTGTCTGTAATTCTTCAGTGGATCTAAATATGTAACTAATCATTGAAGTATCTTGCAACAGTTGCAAGATACTACTTTTCCTGCTGAACCATTGGGTGCCTCCAGGAGCACAATTGCTCATTATTATTAATATTATTTTATCTATTATCTATTACATTAAAAATAAAATGAAAGTCAATCAAATCGTGATTAAATCATGTTCAAAATTATTAAAAATAAAATTATATTTTTTATAAAACAAAAAAAAAATATATATTTTGTTTACGAATCTGGTGAGATTTAAGTCAGTTTTCCTTCACCTT